AACGAAGGCCCTCGCCTTCATCTCTACGCGCGGATCATGTCATGGACAACCTCCAATTACATCACTGTCTTTTGGGAGAAGTACGCATACCTTCATAGCAGGTATGACGCCCAGCATGGATTTTCGGAGCCACCCCTTTTGCCTCAATCGGCACCGCTTAGGTTTGAAGCTTGCTTGTTCAGACAACCATTGCTGATCTACAGCAGTGTCGCCCATACGGACTTCCTCGAAGTTCCAGAGCATCGGCGGGCAACGTGGGCTTACACGGCCGCTCGAGTCACGTACTACGAGGGAATGTCCCAGCTTGCTGTGGATAGACAGGCAGTCAAGCCGGTAGGTTTCTGTTTTTTGTTAGGTCAAAAGCATGGCTTATTCTGGGTAAGGGTGAACTCAGTCTCAACGTTTGCAGCGGTGAGGAGAGGATGCGTCAAGGAGAAAAGCGCAGTGGTAGGTTTGAGTGCACCCAAGGCAAATTTTAAAAGTCACACTCAGCTTACTCCGTAGGCAATGGGGTGAAAAACCAAACAAAGACATCGGTGCTAGCTAAGAAAAGTGGATGGAAAAATAAAAAAGCTACCGTTTTCGCTTTCTAGGCGGTTGCGGACCCAGATTACCTACTTATAAGCGGAGTGAATAGTTGACTACTCACGCAGTGCGCTTTTGTAGCATAAGCATTAATGTGAAGCTCAAAATGAGTAAGATGGGAGGGGATCCCTTTAACAGAAGAAGAAATAGGGCTCCCCCCTGGCGGGAACTATCACATAGGGTCCGAATTGGATTAGCGGTTACATGGCGCAACGATTAGCAACAAGTCGTACTCGGTCGCCATTGCGCGGTTTGGAAATCGCTCGAATGGCAAAGTATGAACGCATCCCAGCTCTTCATAACTGAAGAAGCATATGAGAAGTCCGATTTAACCACATTCTCATTCTTCATTAAATAATTTGCTATAATGCAGCTCGGATCTGGTCTGCTCTGTTCGACCCACTACGACAAGCTGTACAGTGTATGCCGTGTACCTGGTGAAGAAACAGACGAATTGGTTAATTATGGTGGGTCCTTCACAAGAGAACAGCAGAATTTCCTCGGTAATGGTTGCCTTGTAGGGATCTCAAAGCACATTGTAGCTATTTATGGTGGATGCTTTTACAAAGTGATGATGTGTGATGAGAAAAATCGTATGTATAGCATTGAGGAACTAACAAAGTAGGTCCAATCCATTTCATTGCGCGATTTGATCTTTCTAAAAAAATTGTTGTGAATTTTAGAATTTTTGCGGAACTTTTTGCTCGGAAAGAAAATGTAACCGGATCTGCTAGCAAAGTGGCAGCACTTACCGCGGCTCGCAGGTAAGTATGCTAGTGAAAATAAACGGTTACTTATAGTTTATCCTCTTTTTCTCGCTTCAATGGGCGGAATCTTGGGGCGTGTTCACTAATCGCTTAAAAGGTTCCAGTCGAAGGTTGTCCAGGATGGGAGTACCTGTCTGTCTTGTCAAAAGAAATTTCTCGAAGGATTTGTCGTTTCATCATAGGTTATGCTGTTTGGGAGAATTCTGATCCCCGTTGCGGCAACTTTTTACTCGATAGACCAAGACGGGGTCAGGCCTACCTCTAGTCATCCTCATTAGTACCCCTCTTTTAAGGCAGTAAGTGGAGGGGCGCGCAGTTGAGGGAAGCAAGGTGGTATGCTCGACTCCGCCCACATTATCATCGCGTACATTGCCTTTAACCGAAGCGATAGTTATTCTTCATAAACACCATTTACAACTGAATGGTAGAACCTCGTATAGATTTGCATTGAAATTACGCACAATGTGACAGGGGTGATGTAGTGGCAAGTGCCCCGTTTACCACAGCTGTGGTCCAAGGGCCGAATCTCGGATCGGTTCCCGCCCAAGAAACCCAAACTTTCTATCCTCCGGAGCGGCAGATTTGATACCACATTCGTAGTGATATCCAATCTGTTAGGGGAACGTTGACATTAATCCAAGCCACTACGAAAGCGAAGTGAAAGTTGAATGCGAATGCCGCATTCTGCTGGGACTAATTACGCGGAAAGCTTTTCTGTTTTTTCTTTAAAGCTGGAAAAGTCGGTAGGTTCTATGGGCGAACGTATTATGTAGGCAAAGGTGTATAAATCTGCTTACAGGGACGAAGCACAAAATAGGGACAAAATTCTTTCTGAGAAATCCAACGAATGCGGCATCCTTACGAGAAATCGAGTCGGCCGCTTTCATTCTAACACTCGACGATGCCGAATACTTCAATGATCCTGTCAGTTCTTCCCCTTTTTCAAAGGAAATTGCTTGGAAACCACTTACAGAAATGAAAATTTTCAGGCAGATCCAGATACAATGTCAAATTTCCTGAAAAACATGCTTACTGGTAATGGTGCTAATCGATGGGCTGATAAGTCCCTGAACTACGTCGTCGCGAAAAACTCACGGGTACGCTCTTAGACTGCTTTTTCAACCATGAGAGCATTTTTGCACCACTCTCTAGAAAGGACCACCACTGCTTTGTGATCCTTGTGCATACGCCTCCCCCTTGTTCAAATACAATTCCATGCCGTAAATTCGCGACACATACTCGAAACGTCAGTTCTCGCTGGTCGCATGTGCGGAGCCAGACAGCATTTGCTTTTGTTATGGGCTCCTTTCTAACATGGGCAAGCAGGGAAATCACACCAATAGACCGAAAGCTTGAACTGTAGACCTGACTCCGCCTACATGGTCTGCGCGGACTTTGCCGGCGCACCTGCCTGCACCAAAAGTGCTGAGGGGGTAGTAAGGCGATTTTTGCTTTCCGAGGGGCACATTTCAGGTTAGTACGGTACTGGTTGCTCCCATGCCCTTCTCTCTAGCTTGTCGTCTGACTGTTCACTACCATAGCTCTCTGAACTGTCATAACTCTTTCAAATTCAGTGTGGTGGAACATCAGAACATTCGGTAGCAGATGGAGCAGAATTCGACCATATCATGGAGAATTTCAGCGCATTCGAGTTTCTTACGCCGTCAGTACTGGGCTTTTGCAATAGGTTCAACAACGCTTTCTTGCTAGCTGCTTCTACCTTTCAGGTATCCTACTCTGGAGGAACAACGACAAATCGAAAGAATAACTGAGAAAGACCGAGGCCTTACACTCGCTATTCACTTGCCTATCGAAGTCAATACGGAGGTGAGATCCAACCTTTTCCTCGTTGCCACGTTCTCTCTTTTACCGAATCAAGTATGAAGGCGCGGTAGCAAGCCTCGCTCCGCCTATATGACGAACGTGGAGTGTGCATTTAATCAAACAAATTGATCAAACTGAATACCAAACTATAGCAAAATGGAACTATTTTGTTTAGATGGCTTTCGCTATAGAACGCAGTTATTCCGAATATTCAAAGTTGAGGGACGATGTGGATGTCGCTGCTACACTATTCAGGTGAGATATTTCGGATTCATTAGAGCGATTCAGGGACAAAGATAATTGGGTAGGATGGAACACGCAGCGGCACGGCTCCGCGTCATGTCTATTTGTCTGCGCCCTCTCACTCAGATAAGATCTGAATCACTTTTCTAGTGATTCCGTGCATATTTGTAGCGGGAAGTCGAATGCATGCCGCATCTCGAGGGACTAATTAACGCGAGAAGCTTTTCTGTTTTTTTTATAAACTGGAAAAGTCGTAGGTTCTATGCGAACGTATTATTAGCAAAGGTGTTAATTGCTTACAGGGACGAATGGGCACAAAATAGGACAAAATTCTTTCTGAGAAATCCAACGAATGCGGCATCCTTACGAGAAATCGAGTCGGCGCCGCTTTCATTCGCATTCAACATTCGGTTTCGTAGTGGCTTGGATATATGTCAACGTTCCCATCCTACCACACGAATGTGGCATCAGTCTGCCGCTCCGGAGGATAGCAAGTTTGGGTTTCTCGAGGCGGAAATCCGATCCGAGATTCGGCCCTTGGACCACAGCTGTGGTAAACGGGGCACTTGCCACTACATCACCCCTGTCACATTGTGCGTAATTCAATGCAAATCTATACAAGGTTCTACCATTCAGCTGTAAATGGGGTTTATGAAGAATAACTATTCTTCGGTTAAAGGCAATGTCCGCGATGATAATGTGGGCGGGGTCGAGCATACCACCTTGCTTCCCTCAACTGCGCGCCCCTCCACTTACTGCCTTAAAAGAGGGGTACTAATGAGGATGACTAGAGGTAGGCCTGACCCCGTCTTGGTCTATCGAGTAAAAAGTTGCCGCAACGGGGATCAGAATTCTCCCAAACAGCATAACCTATGATGAAACGACAAATCCTTTCGAGAAATTTCTTTTGACAAGACCGACAGGTACTCCCATCCTGGACAACCTTCGACTGGAACCTTTTGGGCGATTAGTGAACACGCCCCAAGATTCCGCCCATTGAAGCGAGAAAAAGAGGATAAACTATAAGTAACCGTTTATTTTCACTAGCATACTTACCTGCGAGCCGCGGTAAGTGCTGCCACTTTGCTAGCAGATCCGGTTACATTTTCTTTCCGAGCAAAAAGTTCCGCAAAAATTCTAAAATTCACAACAATTTTTTTAAAAGATCAAATCGCGCAATGAAATGGATTGGACCGACTTTGTTAGTTCCTCAATGCTATACATACGATTTTTCTCATCACACATCATCACTTTGTAAAAGCATCCACCATAAATAGCTACAATGTGCTTTGAGATCCCTACAAGGCAACCATTACCGAGGAAATTCTGCTGTTCTCTTGTGAAGGACCCACCATAATTAACCAATTCGTCTGTTTCTTCACCAGGTACACGGCATACACTGTACAGCTTGTCGTAGTGGGTCGAACAGAGCAGACCAGATCCGAGCTGCATTATAGCAAATTATTTAGAATGAAGAACTGAGAATGTGATTAAAGAGTCGGACTGTCTCATGATCTCCTCTTCAGTTGTGAGAGTACCACTCCGTTCATACTTTCATTCGAGGCGAGTGTGCGAGCGAGAGAGCGCGGCGGACAATGGCGACCGCGTAACGACTTTTGCTAATGCGTTGCAGCCCATGGTAACCGGCTAATTCACCAATTCGGACCCTATGTGAATAGGTTCCCCGGCCAGGAGGGATGCGCCTCCCTTTTTCTCTTGTGAAGGGAATTGCCCTCTGCCATCTTGACGTCATTTTGAGGCTCCCACATTTGGGAGTGGGCTCTGCGTGGGCTACAAAGGCGCACTGCGTGAGTAGTCAACTGATTCGGACGTCGCTTATAAAAGTAGCGCTAAAGTCCGTGGGGTCCCGGAACAACGCGCCTCAGAAAGCGAAAACGGTAGCTTTTTTTATTTTTCCATCCACTTTTCTTAGCTAGCACCGATGTCTTTGTTTGGTTTTTCACCCCATTGCCTACGGAGTAAGCTGAGTGTGACTTTTAAAATTTGCCTTGGGCGCACTCAAACCTACCACTGCGCTTTTCTCCTTGACGCATCCTCTCCTCACCGCTGCAAACGTTGAGACTGAGTTCACCCTTACCCAGAATAAGCCATGCTTTTGACCTAACAAAAAACAGAAACCTACCGGCTTGACTGCCTGTCTATCCACAGCAAGCTGGGACATTCCCTCGTAGTACGTGACTCGAGCGGCCGTGTAAGCCCACGTTGCCCGCCGATGCTCTGGAACTTCGAGGAAGTCCGTATGGGCGACACTGCTGTAGATCAGCAATGGTTGTCTGAACAAGCAAGCTTCAAACCTAAGCGGTGCCGATTGAGGCAAAAGGGTGGCTCCGAAAACCATGTGGGCCGTCATACCTGCTATGAAGGTATGCGTACTTCTCCCAAAAGACAGTGATGTAATTGGAGGTTGTCCATGACATGATCCGCGCGTAGAGATGAAGGCGAGGGCCTTCGTTTTTCAAGAAAAGATCAGCTTGTTCTTTTAGTGACTCAAATTGGTCCTGGAATACAGACTATTACTAGTAGGACCTCTCTGTCTAAGTAAATCGATGCTGCTTCACCTTTCTGAGAAGCCGCTTCATCGAGGCAAGATACTTGGCTACAGTGTCCTCAAGTTTCGGTACAGCCGGACTGGGCAGAAGGTCTTCGCATGACTTTAGAAGAGGAGGAGATACGGTTAGCAGTTGACGGCAAAACTAAAAAGAGATAGTAGTCAGGGAAGAACACTGAAGGGTATTCTTCCAGTAACTCACACCCCATAAGCGAGTGACCAGTGAGGGCTTCTTCACATCTTCAAATAGGAAACCTTTGTAGGAAAAATAGAAACGCTTGAGAAATTGTCGAAGTAAGAACACAGGAACATAGGCAGTCACTACTGAAAGGGCGCACACTTTGGCCCACTGAAAGATGAAATTCAAAGGAAAATAAATATTTTGGTTCTGTAGAAAAATATGACGCAAAATTACCTCCGCAACTTTATTTGTAAAGACGGGAACATAGCGAAA